CAACATCCAGGCCATGTACTCTAAATGCAAGGCAAGTGGAACGCCTGACATGCGATTAATAACAAATCTTATTGGCCACATAACATCAATTATCAGGGTTTAAGTTTGATCTATCCGCTCTTTGTGCAACGTGATTAGTGCTTCACAGAGGAATTAGTCTCTGGTTCAAAGCATAGTAAATTTTAGACATAAACTCCCACCACAAATGATTGGGGTTTGAGAAAAAGTTTAGGCAAGTAGTTATTTTAATTTACTAAACTCGGTATAGTTTGGCTCAATGTCATAAGTACAGCACACTGTGAGAGTCGAACTTAAGTGTAATGGACAGGCAGTCTAACAAGCTAGGTTCCCAAGGTTGAAAACAGAATAAATATATGGAGGAGAAATAGAGACAGGCCTAGCAAGATCTGACACCTTGATTCAGCGTATATTGTAGACATCATGTCGACCCAGCAGACTTGATACTCTCTCGACGTCACAGCTCAAGGCAGTCGTAAGTATTACCGTCTTCTTACCTATCTGTTCCAATTGAGAGACCCTTTAGAACATGTCAGAGACAGAGTCGATTGTGATTTCCTCTTGTCGTTCCACTTTCGTTTATCCGGGTAAAAATCCATTCGTTCCCTGAAATCGATCCGAGGCCCGTTGCCTTTGCCTCTGACATGTGGGGAGAGGAAAGTGACATGTCAATAGACAACATAGTTTTTTTCTCATTGACAACTGAACTATTTTTACTATTTTTTTCAGTCGTTTCTCTTTATTTTAACGCTTGGAGTAAAAGAAAAAAAAAGATCTTTTGTCAGTCAGACAAAGAGCATGTACAGGTGAATGATGGGAAAGACAGACACAGGTGAATGATGGGAAAGACAGACACAGGTGAATTCTGGGAAAGCGCACAGTAATGATATGATGCGTTTGTGCTTTGCGAACGCAAGTGAGTAAGATCGAAAAATTTTCCTTAAAAATCAATATATATATATATATATATATATATATATATATATATATATATAGTGTGTGTGTAGGTGTGTAATTGGGAAGAAATCCATCTTTTATACAAATTATTTATTAATTTTCTTTCGTTCTTCTAATTTTATATTTTTTCCTTTCTAAAAATAAATTATGTAGAAATTGCCTGAAGGTTCTGTATATCCATACAGAATATTCGGACAATTTTTGCATAATTTATATCCAGAAAAGTAAAATTATAGGAACACAAGGAAAATTAAATAAAAACTTAAACGTTTACCTTTTCAGTTGTTTTAATGAAATTTGTACGTACACACACACACACACACACACACACACACACACATATATATATATATATATATATATATATATATATATATATAATGGACTCTCCCCGTCGGTTTCGGCGTATGAGGATCTGACAGCTTAAATGATTCAGTTATGAAATTTTGTGCGATAATCTTAAGTGGCATTTAAGACCCGCTATGTGTGTGTGTGTGTGTGTGTGTGTGTGTGTGTGTGTGTGTGTGTGTGTGTGTGTGTTTGTGCGTTTGTGTATGGGTACTAGTTGATAATTGCATCATGAAGGTTGTGGTAGATTTTAAAAGTACAAGACAGATCGTTCATGGCTAAGTGTCAAAATTCAGTTACTTCAATAACGGGTTTATGTTGCGATTACAAATCAAAACACACGACAATCCAAAAGTATACCCTTCTTTTCTTGTCATTAATTTATTTTTTTAATTCGCTCTTTATATCATAAAGACTACATAAATTTTGATAATTATCTAATGAAAAAATAATACGTAATCTCGAAAGAGTCTAGACGTATTATTCAGCCATTTCTTCTGCATATATGCACTTAGAAGTGTGCGCCCTGATTGGTCAAAATTCAGTTATTTGATAGTGAAACTGTAGTGACATCTCCGGGGCGCAGGCCTGGGCGGTGAAGACCATGCGCTGCCCCGACTCCAACGGCCGTAGAGACAAGATCCAAAGGAATAAAGAGCATCACATTTGGAGACGGCTTGGCTACAGGATTTGCCGGAAAGTTGTCAGTGTTGACAGACAAACGCCTTCGGGGTCGACTCTAGGTTTTATGTCTGGATTTACTTCCATAGCCTTTTCCGGGTTTGGCTTCGACCTCAAGGCAGTGGATCCGGATTTTCTTTCCAATCGATGGACTTGCTTCCTGGGCTGTCGAGGTCTATCTATCCGAGGCCATTGATGGATCAGATTTCCGCCTTCGCCCATTCTCCTGCTTGGCCATTTGAAACGTATGCCACGTTAGCATTTTATAGACAATGGAAGACCCGGCTATGACCAACCTTGGAACATATATAATGTACGTATATAAACATTATATATTACTTAACTTTTTAATATATAAAAAAGCACACACACAATATACTATAATACTATATAGTATAATATTCTTCTATTTCTGAACATATCTATATCTTTAATTGTAGGTAAGCATGCGAATGTTTAGGACGTTTTAGAAATTCTTTATATTATCGGTATGTTGGAAAGTATCTGGAAACCTCGGGTTGTGAGAGAAATCGGTTTGACATTTTTGTGAATGAAATTACGTAGATACATGATCTAGAATCTGTCTAGGCGTATTATTTAGCCATTTTCGGAAATCAGTGATTCCTCATTACGTGGCCTAAAAATTTCAACTGCCTCTTCTTGATGTTAAGTATAAGTTACGTTTTTGTTTCCTTTTTCTCCAAAACCGCATCGTTGCTCAGATGTCTGGTCCATGGTATCATCAGCATCTTTCTGTAGAACCGGATTTCCGTTGCTTCAAGTCTCTTCTTCGTATTTAACGAGATTGTCAAGCATTGGCTGCTATCCAGGAGAACAGACATCACTTAACATTTCAGTACTTTTTTCTTTGTTTCAAACAAAATTTTTCTGCCTCTTAATACTTTGCTTTTGGAATGCCATCTCAATACGTCTTCGGATCTCAGTGTCGAACTTTCCCTCCTCTGTTTGAACACTTCGCAAATATTTAAATTTCTGTACTTGTTTGATTTAATATCTTCGATTTGTAATTTGCCTTTTGGGCTTAATCTTTTACTGATAAACATGGACTTTGTATTCTTGTAGTTTCTATTTAACCAACCACCTATGAGGTCAGGGTGTGAAACAAGGTCTGTTTAATGAGGGGAGCCCGAGCACGTATACCCGGGCTAGGAACAAAAATTCTAGAATCTCCCCAATCGTCGGTTGCGCTGGCCTCGGTGCGTGCACTGAGGCCTCTCTCTAGTGCAATAAGAAGGCGCGGCCTCGGGCAGTTGTTTGCTCAGGGCCGGCGCCTCTCAATATAATTTTTCTTAGTTGCGACTCTTTCCTTTGACGGAGTCTCTCCTGAGTGTACTCTGCCCAAGGACAGAGAGGCAACTGAGAGATGGTAAATAATTTGTTACAAACTACTCGAGAGAGTAATTTACACATTGTATTCTTGTTGTTGGATTTATTTCGAATGAATACAAAATTGTGGCACAAGGCCGAAAAGGGGTGATTAAAAAGCTGGTCTTCACTAACTATCTTATACCTAGCTAATTTGATTCACGACCCATTCAGACATTACAATTTACTCATTCACCATATGAACTCGTCCGTCACCAATCAATCATCCATGCACCATAATACCGCATCCACTCTAGGGAAACCTACAAAACGCGCCCCGTGTCATAATAATTTAATGATCCTAACACATATGTACAAAAATTCTATGATGAAAAAATGAGAGTGGGAGGGAGATGAAACCCAATAACGAACCAAAATATAAACACAAATGAAATTAAACGTAACTGATGTTAGTAGGGCCCTCCAACCCTCAAAAAGGCAGGGAGGCTACTGTATTCTGCCCATTGGAACAAAATCAAGCAGCTCTCTCGCTAAGGAAGTGGGAAAGGTGATAAAAAATCATACGGGCATGGGAAAGTATAAAGCTGACCCAGTCGAGATAGAAAGTGTGTGTGTGTGGGGGGGGCCAAAAACAAACTGGGGAGGTTGGGAATCTCAGGCTGGATCATAACCAAAGATGTGGCTGGGGGGGCAGGCCAGGAACAACACTTACCCACATTAACTAGGTACACAAAAGCTTGTCTAACCTAACCAAGGGGAGGGCACCACAGGAAGCCACCCCGATGTAACGTAGGCTTGACCTAAAAGAGAAAATCAAGGCTAGCCCTGTTCACACGAACCAAGCTCGCCTCAGTCACCCACCTTTCGCTGAAGACTGTCGAATGCAAGCGTTTTCTATCAGTTCTAATCTTCATCTTGAGCTGATGCTCAAAGAATCGGATCAGATCCTGATGAGAAAGACGGATACCCCGCAAGACTGTATTCTTGTTGTTTATACTTAGTCCTTTCTTTTTGCTTTCCTTTGCTAGATGGATGACTGCTTGAAAACACAACGTTCTGTAGAAGCTTTTGTAGTGTCCTTTCCGTGTCAGATATCAACACTGTGTCATTTGCATATCTTATATTGTTAATATTGTGGCTGTCAATAATAAATCCTGGTAGGAGTTCTATTTATCTCAGAATTGCCTCTCTGTATATGTTGGATATATCCGGTGAGAAGACACATCGTTGTTTTATACCCCTTTCTATTTTTCTGTCTGTATGATGGCGAATTACTGCTAGTATAGATTTTTGATTATTCCTGAATATATCAACGTTGCAGAGCAGCTCTATGTGATATACTTTCTCGAACTCCTTTGCATAATCTGCTGCTCACAGATTAAATTGATGTGCTTTAAGCGATGGATATACTCTAGAAAGCCATCCTCTGTGTTTGTATGTATGTATGTATGTATGTCTGATTTGTCAAAGATGTGAATTCTGGATAATATTCGTCTCGGGAGGCAATCGCAGCATGAGGATCAGTTGGTTCTGAAAACAATATCACGTGTTAATCAAAACCTTCCGATTGAAATTGGTTAAAAAAAAATGTCCGAAAGCCGTTGATGGTCGTGCTAGTCACAAGTCATCGTCAGGAAGTATTTGAGAGCTTACGGTCACATCACGTTGAAACACCAGTTCTCGTAAGATTACCGAAGTTAAGCAACGTCAAGCCTGGTCAGTACCAAATGGGAGACAGCTTGGGAATAGTAGGTGATCTAAGCTTGGATATGTGGGTGATATAAAAAGCTTATTGCTATATCAGGCTGAAACACCAGTTCTCGTACGATCACCGAAGTTAAGCAACGTCGAACCTGGTTCGTACCTAGATGGATGACTGCTTGAAAACACAACGTGCTGTATATTTGGATGTGCAGGTGGTGTAAGGCAAAATGGCTCGGAGTTGGAAATCGGAAAGCCGTGTTCCAATTGTAGTCCGCTCCGTTATATTATGCGCAAATATTATTGGGAAAGATGTGAATTCATATCTTCTGCCTCCAGGTATGGGTTAATTAGTAGAACTTGTTTCAGTAAATTGTAATTATTTCCAAAAAATTCTGACAATGAATTTTTTTTTCATGTGAATGAATGTGTGTGTGTGTATTTATATAACTGTCGGTGGACATGTAAGTTTTTGATAGGGATACAAGATATAAACATTGAAAATTTCACATTTGTAAGCGTGCACATCTTAGAACGAGGTGCTGTAAGGTTGGACGTGCGGCTGGTGTAATGTATAGTCAAACAGAATTATTATTCGGAAATCTGAGTTCGATTTCCAGTTGGGTTCGTTACACTCGCTTACGTGCTAATATCTTTGAGAAATGTATGAATCCACCTCTTCTCCCCCTAGCTATGGGTTAATTAGTAGGACTTGTATCAGTAAATTGCAATTATTTAAAAAAAAAAATCTTACAATCTAAAAATATTTTTCAATAACCAACAATAGGTTGATAAGCCGTAAAAATCAATTAATTAATCGATAAAGTATTTGAGCGTATTATCACATCATATTTCTCTCCCGAGAACCCCAAATTCGACTCAGCATTTACTGGAGGTTTTGAAAAAAATTCAAATGTGCCTGAGCAGATGAGGGTGCTCAAAAACAAGCAACCAGTAATTAATATTTACATATGTATGTAAGTACGATTTATCAAGATCGTAACGGTAATAGCGTCCTGGGGAGATGATCCCAGCATGCAACACTTTTGGGAAGTGTCGAAAAACCAAATCATGGTTTGATCCGAGTCTTTTGAGTGAAATTGGTTGGACGAAGCTATTCGGAAACTTGCAATAGCAGTCATCGTGACCGAGATTTTTAGTGTACTTGCATTGTCGAAACTGTTGATCATGCCAGATTATATGCTCTCTCCCATAAACTGTGAGTAATGACGTTCAGCATAGTTGCATTATCTACCTAAGGTTAGGTCAGTGGGTGTTGAACAAACACAAATGTGGCTGAGCAGGCATCTGAAACCCCGTCTGCTAGCCTCTCTAGCAGACCGGTGTACTCAGAAGCAATCAGGTAGCCATTAATATATATATATATATATATATATATATATATATATATATATATAGTTAGGCACTGAAAAGTCTTCATTCCGTTATTTGGTTAAATTATGGAACGTGGGTCGGATTTAGAACTTTTCTGTCCTTTGTATGTGTATATGTATGAGAAAGTGTTTGTATTTATGCAGGGATAGTGATATTATTTTAATTTGTGAATCACTTGAAATAACCGTAGACTTTTAAAAAAAAAAGAGAAAAAAAGGGAAATAAAAAAATGTTTTCTCTTTATCGTTAGGGAGAAAAAAATTGATTTTTCTTTTAATTATGTACAGTTTATTGGTGAAATTTCCCAGACGTCAGCCAATTTTTTCTTGGTTTTTTTTCTTTTTTTTTTTTTAAAAAAGCTACTTTCTCTGTAGATTTTGATTAATTTTTCGCGAAAATAATTGGGTTTAAATTGTTATTGCTTATTTATTTTTTGTGTTAATTTTTATCTATCTTTTCAGAAAGTTTAGCTTTCTCATTGTATCCTGCATAAAAAATCACTTTAATGATCTCCCGACAGAAATTGAATTTTATCCCTAGTAAGTAGAAATTATGAGCTGATATACATTACAAAGTGTACAATCAATGATCTTATATACATAAACAAACCCCGTATAAGTGTCATATACGCAAATGATTGCTCATACACTGTCACATTCACAAAAGAAATATGTTTCCGTCATTATTGCACATTACACATAATTTATGATTGACTTATTGAAAGAAACACACTCTGCACTCTAAAACCTAAACACGAGGAGACAACTAGAAACACAAATTAATATATATATATATATATATATATATATATATATATATATATATTTTATATATATATATATATATATATATATAAAAAAAGAAAGAACAGTATATAAAATCCGGTGTTCTTATAGATATTTTATTTTTACAAAATAGTAACAATAATAAAAAAAATTTGAAAAACATGGTTGACTGTGCTTTATTCAAAGAAGACAAACAAAAAAAGTCAGACATAATATTTCTGGAAGATAATGTTTTTTAAGGCAAGCATTCTTTGTAATCACAATGCTCAATATCAAGAGATATCGAAACATGTAACATTAATCGAAACATGTAAAATTAAATGTTCGCCTACATTAATCGTCCATAGAATTTTGGAGATTGTATGCTTTTGTGATATAACACTCGTTACCACTTTTGTAATACCAACAATTACTCGTTCTCACTTCCATAATGCTCCTTACAGTAAAGACTTTGTAATCGCCGATACAACTATAGTAACGCCGTCGAACAATACTCGCACTAATAGTACCTGCTCGATAATACTCGTTCAGAAAGTAACCCGTATAGTAATCCCAATAGAGAAATAGAATAGTGAATACAGTAGAGAATTGCGGTCCGTATAGTAATGGAGGATAGAATAGAAATGGTGGTCAATTAGACGTCAAGCTAATTCACATATATACATTTCCTCGATAGTCACGTGATCCACTTAATTCAATAATGGGATCGCCTTTGTTTGCTCACTTTATTCCTATATAACACACTAGCAGCATGGCCCGGCGTTGCCCGTGCTTGATTCAAAAACGTACGACTCATACAGCAATCGCTATCACTTGACTTAAAATATTTTTGCCCTTCCTTGCCTTTAAAGGAGTGCTCTTTGCCGTGCTTATGTTGCTATATGCCTTACTTCTTGCCTATCTCACACTACGAATAGGTCAATTGGAGTAAAGTACCATGCAGTTTTAAATTTTTCCCACTTGTGCAGCTATCGATTGTTTTTGCATGCTAGCATGCTAGTTAACAATCGTGTCAGTCAGCTGTTGGCTCTCACGCTGGTCAATAGAATCTTCCTGCGTATTCGTGGCAGCCAACTATAGGCTCTCACTCTGGATAGTACAAAATGGCCGCAAACTACATGAAAACTGCCGTAGAAGCATGAAAAAATTGATTATTTCTACTATCGATGGGAGTTGGGAAATGGAAAGTCGGTCTTGGCCTTTCCGCTAACTTGGAGCATGTGCATGTAAATTTTGGTGCAAATCTATCGAAAATTGCGGCCGTGCATTCGTTACACACACACACACACACGCACACACACACACACACACACACACACACACACACGCACACGCACACATCCTGCGTTTTATAGATAGAGATGTATCCCAGTTCTCATTCCCAATTTTGAGTTCAAAAGCGTCTTCGAGTGCTTGTGGGTGATGAATTATTTTCCAACCCCTTCACAGGCGGGACGTGGCGAGCCTCTTGTTCTATCGCTACTACCATGAAAAGTGTTCGGACGAACTACATTCCTTGGATCCTCCAAATCTAACCTTCACGGGGAGGACCAGCCATGCCACTTTGTAGCAAACCGCCCACATTCCCTCCCTATACCATCGGTGAGAAGTCAGTTTCACGAGAACCACTGCACTGTGGAACCGACTTCCGAAAGAATATTTCCCTGATTACTACAATTTTAACCTTTTCAAATCTAAGGTTAACCGTTCCTCTCCTATCCGTATAAGCTGCTTTTTAGCGTAACCCTCTACCTCGAGTGGCTCCCTGGCCTTGTACAGGTTGAACCTTATTGTTAAAACTTATAATCAAGCCTCGAATGCTGAAATTTAATTTTCTTAGGAACATTAGTAATTTTCTTTACAAAAACGTATTGCTGGTATTTTCACTATAAACATGTATATCTATGCTTTCATGGTATTTAAACCCCTGTTTTGGGGTTAACTATTTGCCCATAGATGGGATCCTAACAGATGCTACCACACCGGATCTGGGTGAGCCCGGGAACAGCAGCAACAAAGAGGTGATTCCACACTCCTCAAAACCTCCAGTCTTCCGGATATAGTTTATCGTCATATCCAGGACGAAACTGCTGTGTAATATTTAAACTTCTGTTAAAAGTGAGTACAGGAAAATCTCCTCATAAATGAAGAAGAGATTGAAACGACGAAAATGTGAATCAACTGATCGATGCTGAGAATACAATAGATTATTATTGTTATTATTGTTATTTCATCTGTCGGTTTCGAGGGACCATGTATGTGCGCCCGAAGAGTTATTCTCTCTCCGGTTTCATTCTTTTAATTTTTATGAGAAATCGGTAGCTTCCCAATCGATAGCACATCTCCATACGATCAATGTTGTTCAAAGGAAAGGCAAATGCTAATACAACTTGTTACCGGCATCGTTAAAGGAGTTGCCAGAACACAACTGAACATCACATCGGACTGCGTTTATGGACTACAGCACCTGACTTGAATTCAGAGTTGTCTTTCTCGTCTGTTTGCCAACCGTGGTTACATATCCCAGAGTGCCCTACTATTTACCCGTAGTTGGAGGTTTTGCTTTCAGAATTTTTCCTTCTCCTCGACCGTTGTTTTCGGATATGTTACGTTGAAACAACATAGCCCAAACGATCACCGAAGTTAAGCAACGTCAATCATAGTCCGTGCATAAATGGGTGAACGATTGGGAAGACCAAGAGTTGTAAGCTGGGATGTGCCGGTGGTGTAATGGACTTGGAATTGTTAATCGGAGATCCGAGTTCCAGTTCTAGTTGGTTTTATTAGGCACAGGTACTCTGAATTGAACTCTTCTCCTCCAGCTACGGATTAATTAGTAAAAGTTGTATCAATAAACTATTATTATCTCTAAAATAAAGTAAAAATCTTTTAGAGTTCGGCATTAAATAACCCATAGAGGTGTTGATATACCGGTAAACAAAAACAACCAAAAAACCTAGACTGGTTGCCTCGCCAAAGCTATAGAACCTAGTCAGTTCTGCTATTTATCCATAGCTGGAG